TATAGTATATGAAAGTAAATTTGCTAAATTCCAAGCGCTATGGTTGTGAACCTATGAGATTGCTCTTGCGGCTTACATATGTATGTATGATTGTATATATACAAGTCCATACAATTTTAACCACAGAAGTGGGAGTACTTGGAGTTATTAATAAAATTTCGTATCTAAGTAGATGCGCAAGGCAGAATTTCTTATGCAAACCGTTTTATTTTTGTAAATACGTACATATTGTTTTTTTTTTGTAAAATATAACTGCAAAAAATTTTGACCACTACGGCTAAATGCAATGAATCAAAATTCTCATGTAATAAATAACTTCCAGAAACAAAGTTCTTAAGTTAAAGAAACAAAAAAGTTAATGTGCAACTAAGTAAACATAAAATTGTGGCATGAAACGTGCACAAAAGCAGCAACCATAATACGACAAGTGACAACTAAATTATAGTTACTCGTATTTTAACTACAAACAAAAGTGCATAGAAAATAAGAAGTATACATCACACCCGCCAGTTCAACCGAATAACAGCCGTGTTGCAACCCGCCTAGGTACCACACTTTGACTTTCTCCCAGTGTAGCACTACCAAAAGCCTGCCAAATGAAAATGGTAGATAAATCGTCCAAGTTGGATAAGTTTAGCGCCAACATAGGCGGTGGCGGCTCCGGCGTTGGTGGTAGTGGCATTGGTGGGGTTGGCGGTGCTGGTAGTAGTGGCGGCAATAGTGGTGTTATGACCAGCACTAGCAATTATGGCGCTGCCGCGGCCAGTGGCGTTGGCAGCCAAAATATTCAGAAGCCGGTGCCAATGAAATTGTTCGCCGCCTGGGAAGTGGATCGTACGCCACCAAATTGCATACCAAGGTAAGTTTTGCATTTTTCTCTCCTTTTTTACGTATATAATTGTCAACTTTAGCCCTTTTTACGATGCCCGCGCTAAGTATTTTGGGTTTTTTTGTTCGTTTGTGCAGTTGTTCAACCTTGCAATAATACGTAACCACAGAAATTCCTTGAATTGGGTGACATATGTTCATTAGGGTGCCCTTATTTCGAAAAGAGTTCAGGTTCTCGGTCTCACTCCCTAGAAATGTGTGAACAGCCTAAAACTAAACTATGCGAAGTTTTAGGTCAATCAAAAAAGATTTAGAGGTGCCTCAAAGCGCGAATAGTTTCCCATGTATTTGATATAGTGAAAGTACTTTTTGGTAGAAATGGTAGAAAATTAATATTTTTCAAACGATTAACTCTTCTCTTCAGTAGACTTTCAGAAAGAACACTCAATTGTTTATTTAATAATTTATTAATATTAACTATTTTCTATGGGTTTCCCAAACCCAAAGAAATGCAATGTGAGAACCCATAAAACATCGAACATCGTTAATATTAAACATATTTTAAATAACCAATTGAGTAATATTTTTTTAAGTCTTCTGAAGAGAAACTTAGTTTGCCGTTTGAAAAATATTGATATTCAAGGATTCTATACAATTTCTACGAAAAATAGTTCTTTCCCCATATAAAATACATAAGAAACCTTGAGCGCTTTGAGCCAACTCTAAATCTCTTTTGATTGATCTAAAACTTTGCATACTTTAGTCTTTAGCCTATTCACACATTTCTAGGTGGTGATACAGAGAATTTAAACAATTCAATTTTTCTCAATATAACTAGGGGCCACCGTAATGTACATACATACATACATATGTACTTGAATATGCATAAGAACAACTAAACGTCGGCTGCGCTGCTAAGGGCAGATGTTTTTGTTATGTTTTCTTTTTAGTTTATTGCGAAGTTTGCAACTATTTATACATCAGCTAAGGACAGTCAAGTTACAAACATACATACGGCACACCGTCTTCAAAAGAGTCACTAAAGACTATTTCTTATCACATGATAATCATATGGGCAAGGGCCTTTACCTTAGAATATCTGCATATTTCTTTTTTCTAAAAGCGAACCTATTTACTTATGGACTTCAACTAGTCATAAGGAGTTAAAGAGTTTAACTATGCATTCATATTACGTGTAGTCAACTATGGAAATGTATATCGTTTTAAATTACACAAATTCAAAAAAATTAATTTTTCTCTATACAAATCTAAGTTAAAAAAAACGTGTTTTTTTTAATTACATATCTACTTGTTTAGCCGTAACAAATTTTTGCCAAAAAAATATAAAAGCATCCTGATCCTTGTACATACTGCCTTTCGAACTGATTTCAAATCGGTGCGATTTACAAAATCTATTTCGGAGGATTTATAACGAAGAGGGAAAATTTAGCATTAAATCGAGGGATATAACGTAAATGATGTGGTTCTAGCAGTTTCCATTTGAAACATTTAATACTTTGATTACAAATATACAATAATACTTTGCAAATCGCACCGATTTGAAATCGTACTATTTGCAGAACATGCCAGTATATCTCGGGTTCTGCTTATCGTAGACACTCTCCTTCCTCTTAACGTCGTTTTAAAGTAAAATATAACTTTTTGAAGTTGATTTGCATAGTGAACACCAGTAAATTAGGGATTTAAAATTTTACCATCGTAATCCTTGTTTAATTTCTATAAAAACCGTGGTTAAAAAAATGGGGGGTTTTCAAGAACTATTTTTAAAATATTTTCCTTTATGACGAGATGGTTTATTTTGTTAGAATCAACAATTTTTTGTAATTTTTTTCGAAAAATTATGTTAAGATATATTTGGTAATGTGTTAAACATCGGGTTTTTGCAAAGAGTGAAATTTTATTGCGGATTCCGATAGAATACCTATCAAGAAATAATATTTGAACGGCAAGATTTTTCTTTAACACGACAAACCCCTAGAAATGGGTGTGGCAATTTGAGGGCTAAAATTAATAAAACGCAGATTTTATTGCGGATTTCGGCAGAATATCCCTTTGTTAACAGAATTAGTTCCACAACTTTTTCAATGAAAGAATCTTCAAGAAATGGACGCGGCAATTTTATAACTAGGGTTCAAAAATTTAGATTTTATTGTGGATTTCGGCTGAATAACTTTATAACGTAACAAACGTGGATAACGAAAGAATATTCCGTCGAATTTCGCAATAAAATAAAATGTTTAGTCCCACAAATGCAACGCCCATTTCCAGGGGGTTGTCGCCTTAAAGAAAAATCTTGCCGTAGGATAGTATTCTATCGGAATCCGTAGTAAAGTTTAAGTTTTTACCAAAACCCGATATTAAACACCTTGCCATATAGTATATGTACCTCATCATAAGTTTTCGAAAACATATTAAAAAAATTGTTGACAAACTAAACCATCTAATCTTAAAAAAATATATATATATTTTAAAAATAGTTCTAGACCAACACCAATTCTTTGGAACATGTTTTTTTATAGAGAATTACATAAGGATTAAGATGGTGTTATTCACGATGCAAATCAACTTCAAAAGTTCAACTGTTAATAGCTAAGTAAGCTTTAGGGCAATCAAGACCATCTTACATACAGAAATGTTAAGCCCGTTTCTCTAGCTTTAAAACGACGTTAAGATGAAGTCTCTACGATCAGTAGAACCCATCTCGATTTGAAGAAGTATATGAATGGTCAGAATTACGAAAAAATTCGAACTTTGACATATCATATCTCCGAAGAACGTGTTAGCTTATTTCATGCATAGAGCCCATAAACAATTTTGAAGCGAATCGGAGACATGACATAATTTTTTACGAAATCCGCCCGACTAAAAAAAGAATGCCTCATATACTTAGATATTCAAATATGAATGTACATATCGCAAACCTAGACCTAAACTGTAATCAACTAAAAAAAAAAAAATAGAGGAAAATTTTTTGCATAAATCAATGCATAGTTCTTACTTCCAATCAATGCAAAAATCTTTTTCATCATGATTATATACACTTACTAAAAAACTACTCTTATACCTGTTTTTGTATTAATTGCGTTGTATCTGTACGATCCACAAGCAAGTTATATTTCCCGATCCCGATTTGAGTTAGCTCACTTTAGATCTACATAGGTGTGGGATATGTAAATGTGCATGTCAATTTCTAAAGTATAAATTTATACTCTTGTGTAGATATCAAGTACAGATACATACATATGTACATTTAGTTATAATTAATTACCAGTTTACGATTCGCTACTCTTAATGCATTATTCAAATAGCTTAGTCCACCATTGGCATGTGACAGTTCATAATAACTACTGCTTGTTGTAAGTCACAAAAATG